AACGGAGCCCAGGTCCGGAGCAGGGACAGCCAGGACCAGCGTTTGTCACAGCCGTGGGACCCACCTGAGGCAGGGCCTGGGGGTCGCTGCCCTCCCTGGGCGGGGGTCCCGGGGGGTCGTTGGGACGGGGCTCGACGCTGGGGGCAGCCCCTGGTGGGGACTCGTAGCCGCCCTCCTTCTTCTCCTCCGTCTTGATGGTGCAGTTCACCATGCTGCCCGCTCCATCGAGCTCCAGCGGGGGAGAAATGGGGCTCCTCATGGACATCCTATGGGGTGAGGGGGGCCATCAGCACAGCCACGGGCACCCCCTGGTCACAGGCAGCCCTTTTCCCAGCCTGACCCCATTCTGGAGTGTCCTATGCTGCTGGTTTTTCAGAGGTAATGGTTTTGCTTTTTGTCATGAGCCCTCGTTCCTGGCTTCCTGAACTCAGATTTGGGGTTCAATGGCCAGGACCCCCCAAGGAAAGGAATCCTTCACACTTTGGCACTGTGGGCCGCGAAGGAAATGGAGCAACAAAGCCAAACCCTAAAGAAAGCAACCTATAGGGTTTGTCTTTGTGCTCCATCCAGCAACCCAAGGCTCCCTGCAATGGGGACCTGTGCCAGACCTGAGCCAGCCCCCAGGGGTCCCTGGCTCTCACAAGCTGCCCCCCTGCCTCCCTGGGGCTGTGCCTAGAAAGCCGGCAGGGCGAGGGGCAGGTTTCCCACTCCGACAGGAACTGGAAATCCTGGCCCTGCCAAACAATGGCTGGGATGCCTCCTCCGGGGGTCCCCAGCACGGTGTGGGGCTGGGGCGAGGGGCAGGCCCCAGGGAATGGCTCTCCCAAACTTCACCAGCATGGCCACGGGTGCTGGTCCAGCTCCCGGAGCCGCAGCCACCCGGGTGGGCAGTGTGACAGCGAGCTGACATGGGGACAAACTGTTATGGGTCCTACCCCAGGGGACCCCAAACGTGGCCAAAGCGGGTGTTCTCAACACCCAACGTGACACAGCGGGGTTCCTTGCAAAGCCCCAGCTCTGAGCAGCCTCTGGTGGTGCCGTATCCCCCGCAAAGGAGCAGCGTCCACCCGCAGCCATTGGGCTGGGCCACCAACCCTCAGGAACGGGGACAAGCATCCCCTCCCAAAACTCGCCTTGTAGGGGGGAATAATGGGAAAAGGAGGCTGTTGAGGAAGGGATTTACACCAGATCCAGGACCACAGGCTATAGTGGGATGGGGAGAGCATCCTTCCTGGGGCTGGCACCCCATAACCAGGACCCCCAGTGTCTGCTCCCTCTCACCTCCCCACACCCCGAGGGCTCATTGGGACCCCCCAAAATCAAGGCTGGGGGTGCGGGGGCAGCAATTACACAACAAACAAAGCCCGGCTCAAGCTGCGAATTAATCAGACCGCTGAAAATAAAACCTTCCTCTCAGGAACTTCAAACAAAAGAAACGAAAACAACAAGGCCGGCTGGGTAATGAAAAGCCAGGGCTGTGAATAGGGGACAAAAGGAAGTGGAACAATAGGGTGTTGGACAAAAGCAATAAAGTAAAGGGAAGTGTGACAGCTCCACAATAGGGCACTGTGCGCGCCAGCCTTTCTGATCTTAGCGAGGCTTTTTTTTATTGCTCGGTTCCCTTGCCCCTGCGCTGAGCAAACCACGGCACTCGTCGGAGCCGGGGAGCTTCCTCCGGCATCGCCATTGCCCCGAACCTGCCCCTTCCTGCCCCTGGTTCACCTCGGGGAAGGTGACAAACCCCCCCGAAATGGCCATCATCGCCTGCCTTGGCCACGCCTCGGTCGGGGAGGGACCCAAAACGCTCGGGCAGCGGCGCGGCGGGGGGCGGCGGGCGGGGGGGAGCA